ACTCGCCTCTTTTCCGATACGCTTCCCGGCGACGGGAGAGGGGACGTACTCGCGGGTTTCTTAAACGCAATGTGCAACAAGTATTCTTGGTCATATAACCAGGATGTTGTCGAGCTTCCCCGGACGCCTCGGTATTGTTCCCTTGGCAACGCGAGCCCCGCGTCGCACGCGTGTTCCATGCGACGGCGACGGCGACGGCGACGACGTCGCATCTCGTCTCGTCTCATCGCGTTAATTTACGCCGCGCCGCGTCGCGTCCGCAGACGCTCGCAGAAAACGCTTCGCACGGACGGCGGCGCGTCCTCCAGACGATCGCGTTCCTCGACCCCGCGGAAACGAGGCTAAGCGAGCGACGCGACCTCCGGGCGAAACCTCCGGGGAAGATGGCGGGGGTTGGTCGCGCGGGGTTGGAAGGTTAGGTTGCCGCGCCGCGGACCGGGTTACGAGGCGCGACGTTATAAGCGACTTCTGGATGCACAGCGGACCGATTCGTCCGGACGACGACGTCGTTATCGTCGCAGTTTGTTCTCCAGCCGGCGCGGAGAAAGCGACTCGCGCGATTTCGTCCCAAACGCGAACGGCGTTCGCACCGCCGAGTCAGATCGATAGCAATGGCGCCGCGCGCTCCTCGGCGAGGCGGCGGAAAATCAATCGCCTGCACGACACGCGGCATGTTTTGACGCGCCTATTCCGCTCGTCGTCTCGAGCAGATCCGACCAAGTCGGAGCTGGAGCTCGTCGGCGTCGCGCGAGCCTCGTAACCGGATCACGACTCGTCCGCGGACCGCTGCTCGTCGTCGCGGTCCGGACGGTCACCGGAGCGACACCGAGAGTAAGAGAGAGAGAGAGAGGGAGATCGCACACCGGTTTCGAGCCTCGCGCATGCCGGTCGCAAGCATGAGATGCAACAAAATATCAAGGAACAACGACAAAAACAAGTCACCCACCGGTCAGGTCAGGTCAGGCTGAGCGAACGAGCGAACGAGCGACGTTACCGACGGAGGCGGCCGGATCGAGACGGTGCTCGCTTGCTCGCTCGCTCGCTCGCTCGCACGCACGCACGCATTTGCATACGACGCGCACGCATCTCCCTCCACCGCACTCGCAGCACGCGTCGGAGCTCGTTCACGCGCGACCTGGCGACATGCGTGCGCCCGACGGACGCAGCAACGAGCTAGAGCTTGAAGAACAGTTGGCTTACTTTTGATCACTCGGTCCGTCGTGGAGAGCTTCTGCGAGTTGTTCGAGGTCATGCTGTATCTCAGGATAAATGACGGAGATGGGCGCCTCTCTCACACTCCCCTTCCTTCTCTATCTATCCCTCTTCTCTCCTTCTCGGCCACTGCTCACTCCCGATAATCAGGATCTCCTTTCGCGCTGTCCTTCTCGCTCGCGCCCGCGCTCCGCGCCGTGTCACTCCGCCCGCACCGTTTCCTTCCCCGCGCTTTCTTCTTCCGCTTCTTCCTCTTCTTCCCACCGTCTTCTTCTCCGTCCTCCTCGTCCTCGTCGTCCTCGGCCACCTCCTCCTCCTCCTCCTCGCCTCCTCCTCCTCCTCCTCCTCCTTCTCCTCCTCTTTCTCCCTGTTTCGCGTGCTTACTCGCGCGAGATAGCGGCGCCCTACCTTCCGCGTATACGGAGGGGTTGGGTGGAAGGAGAGGGCGGTATTTTCACCTCGAGAGCCCGGCGCGGCCGCCGCGCACACACACGCACATACACACGCGCGCACGGAAATACGCCGCCGGGAGGGAGAGAGAGCGAACGGACGTGCGGACGACTGGGGGGCGGGCGGACGGGGGGAGGGAGGGTGGCGGAGAGGTGACGGAAGTTATCGCACGGCACAGCACATCGGTGCCTAGGAACTGTTCATGGGCGTTCTTCACGATGCCGCCGAACACGGGGACGAGAGAAGAGCGGAGACGCACACGTCTCTCTCGACCGTCTGCTCCCTCGTACCTCTTTCTCACTCTCTCTCTCTCTTTCTTTCTTTCTTTCTCTCTCTCTCTCTCTCTCTATCTGTGTTTCACGGGCGGTCCCCTCCTCGCGCCCGGGAGGGTAGGCGCACCCGAGTGCACTCGCGGGTGCACGCGAGATGATATCGACGAACGATGCGGGGAGGGGGAGGGGGGATGTGGTGCCTTTAGGCTCGCGGGAGCCTCGTCCGTTCGCTCGCTCGCTTCGGGATCACGCTGGACCACGCGCGATCCGCACACGATAGCGACGTCGACGTCGGCGACGATGGCGATGATCAGATGGCGGTGGCGACGACTCGATTGACAGGGACGACGGCGACGAGAGATCGAGCGAGATTCTCAGCACGAACGCGACACCACCGCACGACTGTGAACAATAGTTGCTAGTGAGTTTAGTAATTTGGAGAATGCCAACGTTCTTCCGAGGACGGTGACTGTCACAGTGGCAGCGGCGGTGGTGGCGACGAGGACGACGTGGAGTACGACGTCGACGACGACGACGGCGACGGCGACGACGGCGACGACGACGGCGACGGCGACGACGGCGACGACGACGACGGCGACAACGACGACGACGGCGACGACGACGACGACGACGACGACGACGACGGCGGCGGCGGCGACGACGGCGGCGGCGGCGGCGGCGGCGGCGGCGGCGGCGGCGGCGGCGACGGCGGCGGCGGCGACGACGACGACGACGACGACGACGACGACGACGACGACGACGACGACGGCGACGGCGACGGCGACGACGACGACGGCGGCGGCGGCGGCGGTAGCGGCGGCGACGTCGGTAGCCGCGACGGCGACGACGTAAACCGGAACGACACCGTAAGGACACGAAACACCGCGACACGGAGCCGTGATACCGACACCCACGGTGGAGACACCACGCCGCTAAATTTTACTACAAGATGTCTGTCTGAGTCCCCGCGACGCGCACACTGGACACTTCGCGGACGGGAGACGCTCGCGCAACACTCCGCGCGCAGCAATCATTCGAGACAACCGCCGATTGGCCGCGTTGCCACGAGCTGCCGCCACCCGCGCTCGCCGGCGAACGCGAAGCGCGGAGGCGCCACCGATCGCGCGATCTTTTTCTCTCTCTCGCTCGCTCTCTCTCTCTCTCTTTCTCTCTCTCCTCTCCTCTCACTCCCTCTCTCACCCTCTCTCTTTCTCCCTTCCTCTCTCTCTCTCTCTCTCCCCCTCTCTCTCTCTCTCTCTCTCTCACCCTCTCGTTCTCCTTCTCTCTGTCGCGTCGATACTCGGCCTTATCTCGACTCGACGCGAGCGTTTCGCGCCGACTTCAGGCGGCATTTCGAAAGGAGAACGTCCGTCCGTGATTATTCGCTCGTCACTCCGCTCGCACGAAAGATCGAGAGAGCGCGGCTTCGCAGGATCGCTCGACCGAACGTTCGTTCGCGCGGTCGAGGATTCTCGTCGCGGGGTTGTTTTCGTGGCAGGACGAAGAAGCACGGGTCATCCACGCGCGCGCGCGCGCGCGCGCTCTCGGTCGGCGAATCGATGTTCGAATATAGTAACGTTATCGGGTGTCCTTTATGTGGCCCGCGGGATATCCGTTTACAGGCGTAAAGAATATCCGAGCGCCGGGGGGCTCGCAGGAGGACGAAGCAGACGGACACCCGAATCTCCGGCGCTCCGATTTCACGTTTCGCGATTTGTACTCACGCGCGCGCGCATCTTGAGTATTAAGGTGCGTATACACTGGGCGAACAAACATCCAAGTGTGCATCCATTTTTTAATATGTTTCTTCACGAGCGAACCGGATCGAGAGCGAATCGCACACTGACGAACGTTTGGCTCGCATTTGCTACGCACGTTTGCCGAGATCACTGTTCGTTGTTCGCTGTCCGTTGTCCGCTGTTCATTGTCCGTTCGCCTAATGCATGCATGCACCTTTAGACGTAATGAGATTTGTCGCGCGCGCGCGCGCGCGTTTCCTTCTTTGCCGAGTTTGATATTCTCCCGTCGCGTCGAGCGGCCCCGCCGCGCGGCGGATTATTATTAAATAAATGTCGGTAATGCAGGGCGACGCGAGCACGCGATTAAAGCTCATAAAATATCATTGCCGTATCCGAACGCTGGTATATACGGTTACACGGTATAAACGGCAGCTGGTAAAGCTAAGTTCTCCCCGCGCGTGTTCGGCGCTGCGATTGATCGTCATTACGCGACGCCCGTAATGTAATCTACGCCCGGTGTTTCCCAGTCGAAATTTTCACTCTCTTTCGGCCTCGATTTTATACTAATTTCACACTCCGAAGTCTGTATCGACCTATCTTGATTGCACCTAAGCCGCAGCTTGCCGAAAGACCCTCTTAGAACCTACAAGGTGACAGATTGTGCGTCTCTCGTCATTTGGAAGGTGGGAGATTTCCGCTTCTATACAAATAAATGAGACCCCCATTTTTAAATCGAACTTTCGGCTCTACCTCTAATCTCGATATTACACCTCACGTTTACTTGATACTCTGAAGCCTCTTTGAATTATATTTTGGTCACGGTTTTGCCCCGAAGATCCTCTTAAGAATCTGCAAGCGCCAAATTTTTCGCCATTTAGGGTGTTGAGTTTAGGGATTTCAGGTTTCTACGTAAACTGAATCTCCATTGGTTATCCAGATCTGTAATTGTTAGATGACAGTTCAGATAGTGAAAATGGGACCAAATTCTCTTCGAGATCTTACGTCTGGTCACTTCTGACGCGTTTCGCAACGCGTTGTCTCCACGAATGAAAAGTAGTCTTGCCGCTTTGATCCGACGACACAAGATAAGATTCGGAAGCGTGAAGCACGTGTCTCGATACAAGCGGACGATGCATTATCGCGGTTTTACGATCGCGATAATCTGCCTGATTGTAAATGATCTCTGCACCGGGCAATTCGAAGAAGTCAGTTGTGACATCAACAACGGCTACGAGCCGCCTGCGGATCTTGGAGGCCGCTTGTCCCAGGATGTCCTCCCCGACAGCTACGTGATCGCCGTCTCGCCTGATTTCATTAAGAATGAGTTTTACGCCTCGATACAGATCAATCTGCGAATTCGCAAGGTTCGACGAGAGAACATTCCCTGGGATTTTCCTTTATTCAGACGTCGTGCTGTCGTTGAAGCAGAGCGCGAGAGGAATCGAGATTAACAGACGAGAAGGGACGCGACGAATATACGACTTTGTCACTTCATTTGATTATTCCGGCCAGCCGGCCGTCGCGAGGAAGAAATCAAAGCGGTGGCTTTGGGATTTGATTTGCAGGAGCGAAACTACATCGCGCTGCACACGAAGGACCTGGTGATCGCGTCGGCACAATTGCACGAGGCTCGATCGCCGCGCGAGCGGATCCTCGTCGAGTCCGCGTGCTACGCGGACAAGTACGAAATGATACTCGTCAGAACAGCCGGACGCATGGCGACGGGCGAGTACTTCCTGAGGATGAATTTCAGCGGTCGTCTGACCGGAAGGACGAGCGGGCTGTATCTAAGCACGTACGGGAATTTTGAGTACGAGCGCGACAGGTAAGCCGACGATGAAATTGGCGGAACCCTTTGCGAAAGGGTCGGGCTCTCTTTTCGAAGCCGACAGATTTTGCGTGCATGTTGGATATGCGAGAGAGACCAACGTTTCCCAGCGAAACTTCGCACGTAGAAAACTGCTGGTGACGCAGTTCGAGCCGGCCTACGCGAGGACGGCGTTCCCCTGCTTCGATGAGCCGAGCTTTAAAGCCGTATTTCACATACGTCTCGTTCATTCCGCGCGATCGCATTACCGCGCATTGTCCAACATGCCGATCTCGGTGAGTCACGCGAGAAGATCGACGCGTAATTTCGCGCCTCGCGATCAGCCAGTCAGGCGGGCGATCGTGAAGCTTTTCCTCCCGGCTCGTGAAAAGTCTGCGGACTTTACGACGCATCTTGAGATCAAAGAAATCTTCGATGACTCTTTCCTACATAATTTCCTATTTGATTAATAAATTTAATTAAAATAAATGTAATTAAAAAAAATTTCATTTATTGCCTATTTAATTAATATACCGGGTGCTTCAGACCACCCGGGTCACCCGATTCTTTCTCTCGTCGCGTTAACGCGACATTTTAGAGAAAAATATTTCAGACAAAAGTTGTAGGGCTTCAAAGGATCTATTTACTGACGCTGTGAATTTGACCTCGAATTTGGTTAATTTGATGATTTTGAAATTTCCATAAAACAGCAGGTTAACAAAAGTCAGGGCACTATTGTAAAAATATATTCTTTGGGGCTAAACAGAGCAAGAAAGTCTAGTACCACTTTTTCTTCCGACAACTAGACAAATGAAAAAATATTTTAGACAAAAGTTGTTCAAATTAATTGGTGGAAAAAGACAGTGTAATAAAAAATCGCGGTTTCCACTTCAGATTTTTATGTTGATCTCGACTGGACCTTTCAAGGTTATCCCAAGTCAATCAAATTCATAACGTCAGTAAATAGATCCTTTGAAGCCCTACAACTTTTGTCTGAAATATTTTTTTCTAAAATGTCGCGTTAATAAAAAGAAAATCGGGTGACCCGGATGTCTGAAACACCCGGTATATATATATATATATATTTTTTTTTTTCTAATATATATTGATATCTCTAAATAATTAATTATGTAGAACAGCCGAAATTTGTTACTTCTCACGAGTTTACTTCGAAGGAAAAGCCTCGAGATTCATCTGAGAAGGTGCGCCTCTGAACTCGAATGAATTCCCCGGCAGAAAGTCGCGAGCGCGACGAGCAACAGCGACACGGTGATCACGTACTTCGCACCCACGCCTCCTATGTCCACTTATCTGGTGGCCTTCGTCCTCAGCGATTTCGAGTGTCTGACGTCCAGTATCGGCAGCTCGAGCGGGAAGGAAATTCCGCTGAGTGTCTGCACGCGCGCCGTTTACAGAAACGAAGTGCGGTTCGCGCTACGCTTCGCCGCCCGCGCTTTGAAATATTACTCCGATCTCCTGCGGATCGATTACCACTTGCCGAAACTCGGTAATCCCCATCATCGCGCTCTGCTTGAGCGGATTGCTCCAGCAGAACTCGTTCAATCGGTCAAATATGCAATTGCACCCGGCCTGCGCGTGAGTCGACCGCTGATTTCAACGCGTGCTTAGTAAAAAGATTCTTAACACTGAAACTACCAGAGCGACGCTGAAAAAGCAAGTCAAGCTTAACAAATTATTCAAATTGAGAACAACGTGTTCTATATTTCTCACGGGTGTTGGATAAAGCCGAAGGAAATGAAATTAGCACTTTTGTCCTTGCACACATAAAAAGAAAAATGTCTGGCTGAACGAAACAATTTTCTCGTGAAATACGAGCGACTCTGAAATTTCGTCTCAAGTTATCGGAATTCACTTGTCAAGACTTCTGGTTAAATCCAACAGAATTCTAACGCCCTCAATCTTTCCGAATTGAATGTTTCATTTGTTCCAACTAAATATTTCTCATCATGTAACGCATTTAAAAAAAAAAGAAATCTGCCACCTCGACCATTCTAGTAGAGCTTGATCGCGCTGATCGCGGCGTCAATACATTTCGCTCTCTATTGGAATTTTAATGATTGGAAGAGCACCCGCGCTACGAAGGAAACTTGCATCAGGCATGTGCGTGTCTGCTGCGTCTGTGTATATAAACCAACAGATAAAATAGATCAAACGCGCGCACACGGGAGTCAGCGGTAGATTCGCGGGCCGTTACAATGCAGTTACATATTCTTTTGTTCGCGGAGACTTTTCAATTGGAATTCCCGCTGAGCAGACCTGGTCGCGGTCCCCGACTTCGCCGCCGGCGCCATGGAGAACTGGGGCCTGGTGACCTTCCGCGAAGCGAAGCTCCTCCGCGACGGAGCTCGCACCTCGTACGCGGACATGCGGAGCATTGCTCTCACGGTGGCGCACGAGCTGGCGCACATGTGGTTCGGCGACTCGGTCACCATGAAGTGGTGGAACGACCTGTGGTTAAGCGAGGGATTCGCCACGTACATGCAGCACCGAGCCGTAGATTCTATTTTTCCGGCCTGGCGGCAGGTTCGCGAGAATTTATCCCAGGATTAGCTTAGAGCGTCCTCTCCCTCCTTCCCACCCCCCTCCCCCCGCGCCACGAATGTTAAAGCGGCCTGAAATTATTATCCTTGATAAAACGAACACGCGCGCGCGCGTGGTCTCGCGTACATTTGCGAGACCCGTTTAATCTCGTGCGCGCGAAATTCGCTATCTCTCTCTCTCTCTCTCTCTCTCTCTCTTTCTCGCACCCCTCTTCCTTTTCTCTGATTTTTATTAATCGTCGAATTGATACGCTCTTCTAAAAACGTGGCCGATACTGCATGCGCTAATTGTCGATCTTGTAATTCCTAGTCTTGTAATAACTTCCTTCGCTTTTATCGCTTCGCCTTTTTATTCACTCTTTCTTGGCGTTTTCTGACGTTTCTTGTCCCGGGAAAGCTTGTTCTGAGACATTGATAGATGTTTCTCATTCGCTCACTCTCCCTCTCTCTCTCTCTCTCTCTCTTTCTCTGTCAAAGATGGCAAGTTTCCCGCTAAATACAAAATACGTCGCGATGAAGGAGGACTGCAAGCCGAGCGCGAGGGCGATCGCGACGGACGTGGAGACTCCCGACGAAATCAGTGAGAGATTTGATCGCATGTCTTACCAAAAGGTACGAAGGACCACTGCCAATGCTGGAGCACAGTGATTGACACGGTGTCAAAGCGTCAATGACGGTTTGACAGGCGGCGGCGGTCATCAACATGCTGGAAAGCGCGATGGGCGAGTCCAGGTTCGTCAGCGGGATTAGGAACTACCTCGAGAGGTATCAGTTTCGCAATGTGGAGTCCCGAGAGCTCTTCGAGATCCTGCGTCTCGCCGATGGCGCGGTTGACGTCGTCGAGTTTATGGACCGATGGACGAAGCAGCCCGGGTTCCCGCTCGTCAACGTCCGTCAGGACGGCGCGGCTTTCCGATTGTCGCAGGAGAGATTCGTGGCTAATAAGCAACGCGAGAAAGGAGACTTCACGTGCGTGGGAACACGTCAAGTAGCGGCCGCGAGAAATCGTCCTTACCTTATTAAAACTGGATTCTCACCGGACCCACCTAAGGCTCCGTCATCCTCCGTCAAAATTCCTCTTTGTATTGAAATACGGTCGCGGTATCCGTCGTTTTCGAAATTTTGGTCCTGTTTCTACTTGAACCGACAAACTTGTAGGTTCTTGAGAGAATCGGCAAATTATACGCGTTAAACATTTATACGCGAAATGGACTACTGAGGTGGTCGTACGGCAGCATCCAAACGTCTAATTCGGAATAAATTTGAATTTATATAGAAACGAAAGTTTCCTCCTTTAAATGTCAAAGGACGCTCATTTTGCCACTCGCAGGCTCTTGATAAGACCTCTCGGCAAAGCTGAGCGAGCCCGGCTCATTCATTCGAATCCAAAGAGAACTTGACGGAGGATTGTCACTGTAGTCTGCCGCCGTCTATAAGGACGGTGAGAGAATCAGTTTCGCGAGTTACATTTATTTAGCGCGTCTTTTTGGCTCTATTTGGCGATACAAGCTCGAGTTGAGCACTGAGGAATAATAAGCAGGAGTTAAGAATGCCGTAAATCGATCGTCGCAGGCAAACCTGGATCATCCCTCTAAAGTATGTGACGGACGACAAGAGCGAGGGTGTCCAGTTCGAGTGGTTCCCCGCAAACTCCTCGCGCGGTAAATACGAGCAAAGTACGACGCAACGAAACGAAACGTTACAAGTAAAATTCACACGATACCGTTGGAAAGCGCAAAATTTAATATAAAAATTCTATTCTTACGTGTGTGTGTCATTTATATGCCGAATTCCACGGCTGCGACTGAAAGCTTTCGACGCTCCCCGACCTTACGACCGCGGACGGCGATGATGCGACTCTTCCCCTGGGGAGAGCGAAAACATGAAGAGAGCGAGACAACTCGTCAGAGAACTCTCTCACATTTTCGTCGCTCGAAAACGCACGCGCAATCTCTAAAGTCGAAACATAGTTCGGCCGAAATGCTTCGCTCTTCATGTTCCCGCTATTGGGGACAAGTTGACATGACCGTCAACCGACTAAGCTGCAGATTGCATCCACGGCGTACCGTAGCGACAGTTGTTGCTTTTTCTTTCTCCCGATATAACCCCGACACCCCGTGTGACAAATCGCAGTGAGGCTGTCCGTCCAGAGACCGGCGCGATGGATCAAACTGAATCACGGCTCGGTCGGCTACTACATCGTCAATTATACGGAAGACGCGTGGGCCCGATTCGACGATCTATTGTCTCGCGACACGCGGGTAAATTCTCCCGGATAAACGTCGGAAATTATAGTTTAACGAAGCCTGATTCTGCCGGTCGGTTTTCCCACACCTTTTGTTTTGCCTCTGCTCCCCTCCGCGATTTATTCGGGCCGTGTTGCAGCCTCTGGACGCGATCGACAGAGCGGATTTACTGCACGACGCGTTTCTCCTGGCGGATGCCACGGATATGTGTTATTGCGTCGCCATGAATTTATCGACTTATCTTCGACACGAAACGGCCCTGCAGCCTTGGACCGTCGCCAGTCGGTGGCTCGTTCAGACTAGCAGACTGTTGCACGGCACATATGCCTATGCTCGATTTCAGGTAACCACCGTTCCCGTTCCCGAAGTTTCGGTCGTTTCGCGTCTCGTGACCGAACGAGCGCACCCCGTTGTGCTCCGCGAGACCGGCCTATCGGGCACAATTCGCGTCGCGAAACTAATTCCAAGCAAGTAATCATTGCACTCTCAGCCCTTCTGGCGCTGACAGAGGTACGCGCGGGTCGGCTGATCGGCGGCTGATCTACCGGAGACTTATGCATACACACTAAGAGCCGAATGAATAGAGCAGTTCGAAGTAGTAAACACAAAAAAAACAATAGATAGCGTAACGATAATACGATAATTCAGATGCCCGTCGGTGGAGGTCAAGCGGGATACGGAGACGCACCGAGTGCCAGAACACCTTCGAGTCAGGCTTTCGCGCAATTACCTCACGCGATAATTGATTAAAAATGGCGGTCCGAATGGGTACGCGCACGAGGAAATCACCAACGTATCCCGGTCTAAAGCTCACCAGCACCGATAGGTACAATGGACATCAAAGGAAAGCGCACGAGATGTCCCTCTCAGCTGCTGGCTCAGATCACTCAGGTCATACCGGCTCCCCCTCCCTCCCTCCCCCCCCCCGCCCCGGGAAACGCACGTCGAGCCCGGTCACTGGCGGCCAAGAAAATATCTGAATCGGACCGGTGTCGAAGGGGAAACGCACGACGACACCGGTATTCGGAATTAAGAGAAATCAACTAATTGTGCAAGGGAACAATGCTCGACCCCGGTCACCCGATGAATATTAGAAAACAATGATTTGATCAACACTCACCAAGCTTCCGCACGAGTGACGATGGCACGTCTACTTCGGGCGTCCAACTGCCTACCTCTATCGCGACATCGTTTTTATGATACGCGTCTCTATCTTCCAAACGTAAACACATCGTTTTCTCCACCATTGACCTCACTGCGATCGTTATTGTTTTTCAACGCTCCGAATGCCCATTTCGGATTTTCATATGCAGTACTCACATCTCGTACGATATGAATGGTTAGGTATTGTAGAAGCAAGAATAAATTCATATATTTTTATTACAATTGTGCGCTTTTCTTCAAAGGTATATATACAACAACAGATCGACGGTATTCTTTAGAAAAGGAAAAAGAAAAAGGGGCGAACAAGCAAAGAAAAAGAAAAGAAAAGAATATTTGTCTCACAATTGAATTAATATAAAAGTTTTATTCTTGCGTGTGTGTCATTTATATGCCGAATCATTTATTTTAAAGTAATATTAATTATAAAAAGTATTAGAAAAAAACTGCACTAAATAAACTGCACTAAATAAGTATATATATATATATAGGTAAATATATATATATATACAGGGTGTCTTAAAAATACCGAAATCCCCGGATAACTTTGCAAGATCAAGTTTTCATGAAAAACTTTAAATATCGAGGAAAACTTGATAACTTTTTCAATATTTAACTTGCGATATCTCGCTAACTATTTGTCGGAAGAAAAAGTAGTACTAGACTTTCTTGTTTATTTAGTCTTAAGAATATATTGTTACAATAGCGCCCTGACTTTTGTTAACTTGCTGACTTTTGGAAATTTTAAAATCATCAAATTAACAAAAATCAGGGCACTCTTGTGACAATATATTCTTGAGACTAAATAAACCAAGAAAGTCTAGTACTACTTTTTCTTTCGACAAATAATTGGAGAGATATCATAAGTTAAACATTGAAGAAGTTATCAAGTTTTTCTCAAATATCTCAAAAAATATTAGGCAAATAAAAAATGTTTTAGACAAAAGTTGTTCATATTAATTGGTAAAAAAAAAAAAAAAAACAGTATAATAAAAAATAGGGGTTCCTACTTAAAAAACGCAAGTTGACCTCCAAATGACCTTGAAAATAGTTCAAAGTCAAGGTCACCATAAGGTAGCTCACTTAAATCCCTACAACTTTTATTCAGATCATTTTCCTTGAAACTCCAAAAACTGAAGAGTTATTAGGGTGGTCCGTTACTTTTGTATATACACATATATGGAACCCCTGAAGACACAAGTGTTTGAATATCATGGGCAACGCATGATGCCGGGAATGCTATAATATATTTCTCAAGCCAAACATTTGTCACGTTTGCAGAGGTACGCGCGGGCCCTGATCGACGGCATCTACCGGAGACTCGGTTGGGACGTCGACAGCAGCGAGTCGTTCGCTAGCAGGTTAGTTTGACCTCGCCAAGTATTTTATCCTCCAGACTAGACTATCAAGTCAACCTGCTCTTTTCAAGAGAGCTGCGCGCGATAATCCTGCACGCGGCCTGCGGCGCCGCTCATGAACACTGCCTCGCCTTCGCCAGCAACTCCCTGAGAGCCTTCGCGAGCAACGACAACGCGGAGCCGCCTCATCCCGACGTCCGCTCGGTCGTGTACTCCTTCGGTAAGCAGGTTGAGCTCCGCTCAGGGTGAACACGTCGATTTTCCATCCGTTTTCACGAGAACGCGTCGCGCGTGGTCCAGGCATCGCCGCACGCTCGGACGACGCCGAGGCTACGTTCGACAAGCTGTGGCGACGGTTCCTGCGGGAGAGCGACGTCCACGAGAGGGAGAGACTGATGATCGCGTTGGCCAGCGTTCGAAACGTCACCGTTCTCCGCCGGTCTGTGCTTCTATCGCGCGCACTGCGTTTCTCGAAGTAAAAATGTCATTTGCCTCGAAAGAGCGCTCCTCGCGCCCGAATTCGCGAGTTCGCGGCGCGGCGCGTGAAATTTATTCAAAAGACGTCCCGAATTCCGCGAGTGAGTTCTCAGCGCACCAGTCGGCGATATTAGATTGTGAAAGAGTATTAAGTGGAAAGGAGACTTCGCTTGGCGCTTTTCTCATGCGGAGCGGAATTTTCGGAACATCCTTGAAAGGAGAACAAATTCCCCTCTCTTTAGGCTACGCGATAGTGAGCTCCTTTCAAATTTGCGACGAGTGTATTTCCAGGCCAATCTCAAGAGAGCTTAAATATTCTTTGCTGAAGATGGTCGTTACTTAACAGAGGAAAGGTGTCCCAAGCGATCGCTTCTCTCAGCAAGGAGAGAGAGAGAGAGAGAGAGAGAGAGAGAGAGAGAGAGAGAGAGAGAGAGAGAGAGCAAGAGTAGAATATTTGTCTCTGCGTGCAAACGATCAGAAGGCTATCGACAGAATTTATAGTTTCTAATATTCCCATCTATTTGAAGAGAGAAAATTACGCGGGTCGAGGCAGCGGAGCCAATTTGAAGTAATTCTTTTCTCTTCCCCGTCAGGTATCTCGAGAGAGCGGCGAGTGAGAATTTTATTCGTAGCCAGGATTTCCTCGAGGTGCTCGTGAGAGTCGCTCTGAATCCCGCGGGACTCGATATCGCGTGGAACTATATACGGTATATATATATATATATCTTTTGTTTTTCGCGCGTTCATTATCGCGTTACATTGGGGGCTTGCAAAAGCCCCCGTCGTGTTGTCAACAGTGCTTCTCTCATTAGCAGCGACGAAACGGTACGTGCGCTGTGTCCAGTCACAGTTCACAACCTGGCGTCATTATTCGCCGCCCGCGTCGCGTCTCAGATAATTGCCCAATTGCAAGATCCCGATATTAGCGATATCGCGTTATCGTATAATTAAAGCCGTTTTTTACGCGTGTGCAGGTCAAGGTGGGACGACCTCGTCAGGAAATACACGCTGAGTGACTACACCATGGGCAACGCGATTGCCGCGATAGTGTCTCTTTTTAAAGACGAGGCCAGATTGAGAGAGGTGAGAGACAGAGATAGAGTGAGATGGGAAGGGAGACGGGAGAGAGAAGCAGACAGAGCGTTTTGTTAGATTAAGCAGAGTTGCTTCATGCCCCGCCGACATTGCTATTTTAGGCCTTGCAATTTTTCGACAAGCATCCGGAGGCGGGGGCCGGCGCGAGCGCGAGGATAAGCGCTATCGAGGAAGTGGAGTTCAACATCAACTGGCTCCGGGTAAATGTGCGGAGAATAGATCAATGGCTGAGAGTCAGCGGCTGCGATCGAGTAGCGGCTCTGTGCTCGTAGGGATCCTGGGAGATCTGGCAGATTAATGATGCCTTTAATTCGTCAGGCGTAACGAATGATCGAGGAAATACGAGGCGGAGATTTTCGTGTGCAACGTACACATTGTAACAAAATTTGTCCGAACACGAGGCATAAAATACAATGCGACGAACCAAGTACTCGATCGTATATCGTCAATGTTATAGACTCAACGTTACGCACAAATGACGTAAAAACAGGCCGAAAAAGTGAGGCAGGAATAATTCAGTGTGATAAATTTAATATCATCAAACCGACAGCAGATACAACTTCTAACGAGTGTCGGGAGAATAAACGACTAAATCGTATCGCTCCGCGGGGACGCGACTTTATACAACTTTATATATAACTACGTTTAACTCGTATATATATATATATATATAACTTCAATCTGTATCCCAGATAATTATGAATTTCCTCGCATATTATTCCCTCTCAGTACAGAGAACTCGAAAGTCGCTTATAATCCGTTGACGCTTTAATCGGAGACCCTGCTTTAAAAAGAGCAATCGTCCACCGTGAGAACAACGCCCGTGCGTTGTTCGGCGCGACAGTTGGTCGCGCTCGGCCGAAGAGAATTCGGCGATTCGCGGCGATTAATCGGACCGACGTCCGCGCTGCGCGCACGAAACGGCCGAGAGCGAGCGTGTTATCGAGTTTATCAAAATTTCTTTCGTTGCTCACTGGCTACGTACAGCCGGCGTAAACAACCCGCGCAGCCTCTCTCTCTCTCTCCCCCCTCTCCCCCCTCTGTCTATCTGTCTGCCTGCCTGCCTGCCTCTCTCTCTCTCTCTCTCTCTCTCTCTCTCTCTCTCTCTCTCTCTCGTTATGACGTGTCCAAACGCGAATACGATAGCAGCAATCTGTCATCCAGCGCTTTTCGCTCGCGGCGAAAGTTTCTGTCGTCCGCGGCAGCGAGATGAACGGACCGGTGCATTACGCGCTGGTGGCCTTCTGGGAGAAGTCCGGCTGCAAGATCGTGGCGGATTACCCCGCGGATCGGGACCCGGCCTATCGAGCGATCGCCCTCAGCACCGTCGACGGCCTGAAGACGCTCGAGGACGACAAAATCAGCATCGATCGGGGCAAGTAAGATCTCTCCTCCTCTTCCTCCTCCTCCTCCTCCTCCTCTTTGCCCGTCGCGACTCGCGCTCGATCCCGAGGAGAGACGCGCTTCTTCTTTCCCTTTCTTTTCTCTCGCGCGCGATAAGCGACGTTTATTCCCCGAGGTTGCTGAGCGCGTCGATATATGCCGGCGCATCAGACGAGCGTCGAAGGTTTTCCTCATTATGGCGCCCGCGGATGCCGTTTAACCAGTGTAATAGCTCGCGATGGATTAATTAACGTCCCTCTGCGCGCGCCTGAGCGATAAGATCAATACTCTTTCTCTCTCTCTCTCTCTCTCTCTCTCTCTCTCGCTCGCTCGCTCGCTCGTCTCGTGGTCCTTTTTGTCGCTTCCGGAGGTGAAGTGACCCAATGCCACCGCAGGTACACCGTGCACGTGCTGATCGGCGAGCTCCACTACGCCTGCTTGACATCCAAGTCGGACTGCCCCTCGTCGGCGATTCGATCGGAGTCTTGCTCCCAAGTGTTCCTGGAGAGGCTGCGGACCGTTTACCGGGAGTTACCGATGTTAGCGGATCTCTCGAGAGACCTGACCAACCTCGCGGTGGTGGATCTCTCGAAGCCGCTGAAGAAGATAACCGTAAGCGTCGGCTTTCTTCTCGCCTCTTCGTTCGAGCAAGAAGAAGCCATTTAAACGAGGGACCACACCCGCCCTGCTGTTGCAGGAAGAGTTCAACCAGCAGGATGTCGATCCCAAGACGCTGATCCCGAGGCTGGAGGGTGAATTGGCGGAAATACGCCACGCGCTGATGGACGGGGTGCAGAAGCTGATCGACCGGGGCCAGCGACTGGACGAACTCGTGCGCAAAACGCAGAGCCTCCAAATTACGGTAAATAAAGCTAACTTCTCTGCGAGTGCGCTCCCGCGCACCCCCTCGCCTTAGCCGTTGGCTTCACTCCGAGGATCGGGAGGGTTGTGGGTGGATGAGAGACGGCGACCGCGATGTTTCCGCGAGCTGACGCTCGTTGATTCATTAATTAACCCTAATTTTGTCACTCACAGTCAAGCCGAGGAGCGAGCTGAAAATTAGAATTGCTGAATCTCGGGTTAAATTCTCTCTTCGTGGTAAGCGCGATACGTCCACCTGCTACTTCACGTGTAGAATCTACATTGTCGCCTCCTGCATTCTCGAGGTAACGACTGAGAGCAATTCTTCGAACGTAACTTTGTGTTTGTGTTGAGATCTATCATATCTGCACACCGAGTGAGCGCATTTATAAGTCTGCCCGCGAGCAGCGAGGAACAACTGCTGCGCTAACGAGGGTGGTCGGGTCGCGACTTCGCGCTCGGCAATTCAGCGCTCTGAATATAACTCGCTCGTCGGCGAGCTTGAACGCCGGCTGCTCATTAAGCCGAGGGACATGCTCGCGCCGAATGACCGCGGCGGAGGAACGCCGCCGAGTCGTCTCAGTATTATTTATGGACGACCGTAACACGCACGAGAGACACACGAAGGAATTAATTATCGTAATCTCGCGCGCCGATTAAGGCGGGGTCGCGACTCACTGACCGCGAGCGAAGGTTACGGCAATCATCGCGCGCTATTGACTATCGCGGCAATCCCGACACTTGTGCGAACGTCCCTGTTGCAGCTGCGGAAGGACTTTCACGTGGTGCCGAGGAACTCGCGGAAGAAGAAGAAGAAGAGCGTCCTGCTGGCGACCGGCGCGGCGGCCCTCATGTTCATATCGGCCTCGCTCTTCATGCTCTTGGTCTACATGGGGATCCTGTGATCGTTCCCTGCGCGAAACATCGTTTCGATATCTTCAAGTGCGCCGTCGGAGTTTCTGCGAAATAAAAGAGACGCGTCGCTCTCTCTCTCTCTCTCTCCCTCTCTCTCTCTCTCTCTCTCTCTCTCTCTCCCCCTCTCTCTCTCTCTCTCGAGTGGCGAGGAAACGCACAACGGAGACTCTTTGTAACCCTGTCCGTTATCATTGTTCCCATGGCCGCAACTCGCGCTGCATTCGCGTTAATCGCACACGCGATATAATTAGGTTACTAGGTTACTTTTTTAACCGCGTGCGATATTGACGATCGATTGCTCCACGAAGGATGGCAACGCGCGCGATGAGTCAAGTCGCTGATCTGTGCTGCGCTGCGATAGTCGCTCCACGCGATAGTTCGCGTCTGAAAACGAAGGTTATAAAACAAGGTGATAAAGGAATAATCTTGCAGCATATAATAGTATTTTTTATAGTAGATACCCGCGAGCAAAAAGGATTATACATATATATATATATATAAAAATTATATATAATTACAGGTGAAACCCACATGTTAATCTCGTCGCGTGTACATTGTGTTAATTGTGTGTCGCGTGTTAATTCTGTGTAATTATACACGTCCGCATGGAGGAGAAGCGCCGTTAACCGAGGGAGAAAAATAATTGTATTCAATTAAACGTCTACGTCGCCGGCTGCGCGACAGAGCGAAGCGAAGCGAGCAAAGTTTGCTTCAATTGTATCTGCGTGCAGCCGCAGCGATATTAATTGCGACGATATATCTTTTCGCACAGTATACGATTGCGTGCAGGAAAATGATTAATAATCGAATGGCACAATTACACATGATTGACACGTGACCGTGTAGAGAGACAAAATTCCCTTCTACCTTCTCTTCTGCAATTCAATCCTATTTTGTCTTGTATAATTCTCTTTTCTCGGGTAGGCATATTGCGCGATTAGAAGAGCGGTTTGCGGTGAGCTCCACATGAGTCTATCTAGGCACGAGGTACCTTGTGCCTAGCTTCCGAGTAGCCGAGGAATGGCGACGCTGCTGAGGTTCAAGATCGAGCCAGACGAGTTGCGACGCGCGATCCAAGCGAGGCACGACCAGGCCGAGCTGTCGAGACGCTCGCACTTTGTCGCGGCGCGCAAAATTCAAGTGAGTCGCCATCCGGCCGGTGTCGACGGTAACCCTGAGGACATTACGTATACATATTGGAAATCCCCGATGAATCCAGGCCTGGTTCCGCGGCGTCGTCACTCGCGCTCATCTCCGTAGGCTCCACGAGTGCGCGACGACGCTGCAGCGTCACTGGCGCGGCTACCGCACCAGGATACTCGCCAGGCGCTACCTCATCGAACATGTACACCAGATGTGGCAGGATTATTACGACAGCATGGCGACGAGGATCCAAGCCATCTGGCGGGGTTATTGGGCGAGAAAAACGCGGGCGAATGTTGTGCAGCTGCGACGGTGGCTGCGGGCCGTTTACGCGAAGAACGACGAAGTTTGCGAGAACATGAAGAAGTTAGTTAGTTCTTCATTCATACTTGTCGCTTGTTATCAGAGCCTCTGATGCATCAGATTGCGGATTAGAAGTTAGGTTTGATCAGAGTTAATTAATCTGAATTTAATTTTGGACGGATTTCGATCCTGGCTTCGTCGACCTTCGTCGCAAGTTTGCGACCTCAAATCTTCAGTTTCCAGTTATCTAGCACGATGCGAGCTTCAGCTTGACGCGTATTCTCTTCGTCTCATAGATACAGGCAAGCGGAACTCGAGAACATGGAGAGCGCGAGCGAGCGAGAGTCGTTGCTACGGGTTTTGTTCGTTCTCTTCAAGGTAGGACGTTAAAGCTCTTACTTTAGAATAGAGTTCCCACATGCGAGCTCGAGGTCGCATTTAACGTCTCGTTCGTGTGACGCGTCGCCGCAGCTGCATCATTTGCTGAGGACCGAATGCCGTCCTGGTGTCATCACGAGGATCGACGAAACTCGCTTCACGTACATCGAGGAGATGCTCAGGTGTCTGCGTTACAAGCACTACCTCCCGCGAACAAAATTCCCTCGCCAAGACCGCCGAATCGGCGGCCGTGGGTCCTCCTCAGTCTCCCGCGACGTTTGCTCGCGAATGTGCAAGAGGAAGTTGCAAGAGTTCGAGCAGAGTTTGCGAAACGTGCCCGTTTTCAGAAGCGCGGTCGGTTAGTATACGTCAGCCTTGACTCGCGGCGTAATTATATTGAGAGAGAGAGAGAGAGAGAGAGATAATTATATTAAGCCAAAAGACAAGAAGAGAATATTTATTCGGTGGATACGGAATGAGATATCCACTCAGATCTAAATGCTCTTCTTTGAACGGAACGAGCGATTGCACTAGGAAAAAAATTTAGTATCTCTGACAAAACTGTTTAGTTGAGGCATTTTTTAACAGCAACCAAATATCTTGTTTTATATAACAAAAGATTTAGTTGTCTCAACTAAATATATTTTTCTGCTTTGTTCTCTGGACCAAATGATTTTGTTCTCAGACTTCATCGCGTAAAAATTAAGCATTTTAGTTATTTTTATCCTTTTGTAAGAATTACATGATAATGAAATATTATTTTGCATAAACTAAAATAATGCCCAATGGATACTATTTTGTCCTTCTGCGCACTGAAATTTAGATTTTATGTATTAAGAAAAAATTATAGTATTTTTAACAAAATTCATACATAGTTGAAGCTTTTTCGTTGCTATGACAAAAGTATTACGTTATACGAACAAACCGTAATCAAACAAGATATTTGTTTACAGCAACTAAACAGTTTTGTCGGGCATATTTTAACCAAATTATTTTGTTGTTACGACAAAATTTTGGTTCACGCAACAATACATTTTTCCTAGCGTGCTTTCGCACGGAGAGCTGTATATAATTTTCTCAGTCGAACGAAATCTTTTCTCATGCCGTAAAAATGTGTGTACTGATACAAGTAACTGTATCATTGATAACAACGGTGAGCATAATAGCAGTGGTAATGAAATAAAACTCGATTGAACATTTTATTTTTTCAATTCAAATTCTCCCCTCTCCCGTGTATGACTCCCTAACCGTACGCGTTATTGATTTATTATTTATTGATTATTAGTGCGGCAGTACCAAACTGTGCTGCTGCGGTGGCTTCGCGTCAGCAACCACCAAATTACCGTTCGCGTTGAGGCTAGTCTGCGAGTGAACGTGCGTCAAGCACGGTAGTTCGCTTCGATTTCTTGACGACCAAGGTCATTGTACCAAATTTTGCCACCGACGCAGGGCCGCCATATTTCCTCACCGACGTGAGAACTTTCTCACCTTTTGCCTGCAGGGCAGCCTTCCGCCGGAGGAAACAGAACCGCTGCGAGAAACGAGCGCTCGAGTGGCGGACGAAGCGACGAATTTTCCAGCGAGTGTCCGCATCGGAACTTCGCACCTGTCGAGCTGTGCGAGACTATCGGCAGGATGGACTGTCGGCTGGATCGCCTCCGGCTCAAGTGTCCCATCCACAGCTTCGTTGCTTGAAGTCCGGCGAGCCCGGCGACCGTCGCAAAGTCGTCCGCGCTTCTCGCGCCTCGTTCGCGGTCAAAGGGGGAAACGAAGGGGTAACCGCGCGGGAGAATAAAGTGGCGGTCGTTGGTACGTTGAGAACGCTCAACTTTATTGCATTACTAAAATAACAGGTTTCTAGTTTCTTAAAAAAAGGAAGATAAAAAAGCCTCGATCAATCGCACGTCTCGGCGATCCGCCAAGTCTGCCGACGTCGCCGAATTATGGCCTGCATGAAGCCGGAACCTGCAAGTTCTCGTGCAAAGAGACCTTCCTGTCGCGGAAGTCTGGATTGGCACCCGACTGAATTCTGTTCTTCAATGCCACTACCTCGGAATTTATCGGCTCGCAGAAATGCGCAATTGCCTTCGAGACCATTTTCGTGGGTTTGCATCCTTCGTTACAGTATGGAAGGGGTCTCAGAGAGAAGCAGTACTCGTCGTCCTTCTCCAACCAGTGAGTCTTCATCGTCGTGCAATAATGATTGAAGGAAATTCCTGCAAATTTCTCGCGCCAGAGCTGTTGTTGAGTAGCTTTCCCTGTCTCCAAGTCGGTCACATAGTCGGTTTGATGGTGCTCGTGTTCGATGCAGTTCTTCGTGGCGTATTCTTTGGCCTTTTCAACTAAGGGATCTTCATTCGCGGGATCGTAGGCATACAACTCGACCACGTCTGCGGGTTCCTCCACGTAGCATCCTGCCGGGGTTATCAACTGGTGCTCGCGGATATTGGCCTTGGCGCCGCACAAACCGCGCAGTTCTCCGTTGTACTTGTCGGAAGCCTGGCACAGAACAGATTTGTCTCGGGTTAGATCTCGCACAGCCGCGTGTCAACCGCGTCGTTCTTGCTTCTCACTTACCTTGATTTGCACATTCGTAGAGTCGTACCAGATGGTGATCTCGGACGAGTCCAATAAAATTTCGTGCACGTTGCTCGGTAATGTGGAGATATGTATATCTAGTTGTGTCAAGGTGTGCCACAATTCCAGCGGGGATTCTAAATTCTGTCCGTCCACTAGAATTCGTACATCTGTAGAACCTGGAGCGGGTGGCAATATCTCGACCGTCCTCTCCTTTTTCATTATAATTAAACTCCTCCTGCCGTTGTCCAATTGCTGAACCAGAACAGCCACGTTCGTTTCGTCCGGTGTGCCCTGAATAGCGCTGATTAAATTCGACCTCTCATTGAGCCCTTGACGCGTGGGATTGATCAGTAACACGTATGGATGTTTCTGCCCCAGTCTGACGGAGTACTCCAGGCCGTTGAAACTGACAAGGTGGTCTGCGCTGAGTACGCATTTTCCTGTAAACGGAAAGATTTGTTGATTGCGACACACAGCTTGGAATACAGGTTATACATATTCGCCGACGAAGCCGATAAAACGCGTGCGAGACGTGTCTTATTCGTGCTCCAATAAAAACCATAATATGTGGTGGTGAGAAGGAAGGAAAATATTGAAAGATCAGACACGAAGGTGTTTGCAAGTTTCGTGCAAGTGAAATTTTAACACTCACTCGCGTCTGACTGGCCAAACAATAACTCCAACTGATGTTTATTGAAGAAACTATCAGGTAGATCGATGAGATCCATATGCATATAAGCCCTTAATGGCGGAGCGACCATGGTGATGTTCAACATTTCGTCATAGAGCGGCTTGTTGACCATGACGCTGATGGACCGGTGCGAATGTTCTTGCGGTTGCGGTTCCCAGTCCTCCAGTTCTAGGTGCATTATAGGCATGAGATGAGCAGCGAGCGCTTTAAGGAAGAGGTATTTCATATAGTGGAACGGCTTGTTGCCAACCTTCATCGTCATATGCATCTCATCCTTCTGATCGATGAACTTGCAGAATTCCTGGCAGTTCTTCAAGCCAACGGTGTGCCTTTCCTTCTCCATCATGCACTTCTTGTGCATTTCGGAATTTACCAAGAAGTTATTCAGTTCTTCACTTTGCTCTTGAATCGCGAGTAAATGGATTGTCTGCTTGGTTTTGTCAGGTGATTCATAATGTAGCAACGCATTCCATATATTATGATGCTTGGAGTGTAGGTCTAAAGTCGGACATGCAGAAGGCGCGCTCTCTAGATCTAGTACGGCGGCAAACTTCCACGCGGAATGCGACGTTTGAAGAATGGCCTTGTAATGCATTGTCGTGTCGTGCTCGCTGTGTTGCATTATAGTTTCATTCATGTGCCAATGAATATGTTTGTTCGGTATTTTCATGTCCATTCTGACCAACTTCATAGCCTTTGGGTCGCTCTTGTGTTGCTTTGATATTTTCTTCATTTCACTCATCCATAAATCGTCCGATATCTCAAAATCATCTTCTATCCTCTTATGCAACATGTCATTAGGCGGGAGAATGTCATCGTAAGAGATCGTGAAGGATATAGTGTTGTCTGTATTTGGGTCGAATTTCGTTCCCACTTCTATCTTATTATAATGGACATCTTTGTCAATTAATTGTGTTATTTGCTCAACAACAACCGGAAATAAGAAATTTTGCATAGTCACATTAGGCCTGAAATGATCGGTCTCAATTGTGATGACAAGATCTCCCATATTTTCTACTGTTTTACTGGGCGGTTGCTTCCAATACAATATGTACGCTTGCTCGTGCAGAAGAACAGGCTTGATGGTACAGAAATCGACGATCGCGTTATGCGGAACGACGCTGTAGTGCAACAACGTCGTGCGGAGTTTGTCTTTGGGTGGCTCGTAAACAACGTTGAGTTGTCTCGCCGCTTCATCTACGTGGAGTTTCAACTTTGCTGGTAGATGTAGTTGCATATTGACATCAAAACCGGAGAGATAACGCTGGTTGTCGAAGACTGTTACAAAATCGAGTCTGCTCATGACCTTTCTGCTCAATAGTACATCTAATTCGACGTCCATCTGCAAATCATATGGATTCGGTTTGTCCTTCCAGTGCAATTTGCTCCTCATGTAGCCCAGCTGGGGCTTCTGCAAGCGATAAGTCACAGGCAGGCCGAGTTCAGACGGGTAACTAATCGCTAACTCCCAGCTCATCATGCTGGCTAACATAAGGTCGCTCTTATCTTCTTCCGCAAGTTTAAAAACTCTCAGGAAGCCTGCGATACAAACAACGATCCTTATATTCTTCAGGGTAACGTACACTCATGTGCAGGTAGTATGCCCGTAACTTTTGACGAGTTCCAGGACGTATCCGTCTGGTCCAATGGAAGATTTTGTTTCTCGCCGAGAGGGTTCTCCCATTACGGTCAGTACGGAGGCGTTCCGCAACTCGGACAAAACAAATTACGGACGGGCTTCCTGCCCACGCGACTGGACTTGAAAATATGAAATTCACCATATACTTACTCTCGAGTAGGTCGAATATCTCATGCTTGTCGAGGACAATCAAATTCACCGCATACTCGGAGTCCATGACAAAGCTGGTCTCTAATAACTCCTCATCCTGAAGTGGGATCTGCAGGTTCTTAGCTACTGCATCAACTGCCGACAGGCTTTTCGTTGGCAAATTCGGGTGGAACAGCAGTTGTAGCAAGCGCAATAGAAGTTCACTGCCCGTGCTAGCGACCGCTATTTTTAAATTGGGCGGCGAAAGATGGGACCTGTTAGTCCCTAGTTCTACAGACGCGGAGGCGGGTGAGAATCTTTTGAAGCCACGGATGGTATTTACATACACCGCGGCCTCGAATTCCTTCTGTTCATTCACATAATCCTGGCCGAAAATGTAAGATTCGCGCATATTGGGCTTTACTTTTGGATTCAACAGTTTCCTAACGGCTTGCGCATTGTGTGCATCTTGACGGTTTCTCTCTCGGCTCAATTTGCTGAGGTATCTTATGCCGGTTACAACGGCGTTGTTCACTTCCCCGTTGGGTTCGTAGTGAGTTCTCTCCGCCATGCGTTTCAACATGTCCAGAGGTGGGTGGGACATCATCAGAAGTTGGACCGCTGCGATGCGCACTTCCTGATGCTCTTTGTCGTTCTGGTAGATCCTGTAGACAATCGGCCTGACGACGTCCGGCTGATGTTCCATTAGCTTCCTCAACGAGGCGACTATCGTCATACGCTGGAACGAGGTTATCTTCAGCTTGCCCTCCAAGTACGGTTCCAACACCGGAACGATGGCTGGGTGACCTATATTACCCAGAGCTATAATATACGTCAGGATTTTGCTGTTATGGTGTTTTTGTTGGGCATCCATCAGCTCTTGGGCTAGGTAGGGGATATAGACATCGGTCAGCGCTTTTTTCTCCTCATTGTTGACGAACATGCCAAATGTACGCACGGGGTAAAAGAACTTTTGATCCCAGACCATGACGTAGCGAACCAGTTCGGCGAAAGCGTAGGGCGCGGTGGTGTTTAGGAGAAATTCGTTCTTCACGCTCGGCTCTTTAAGGAGTTCCTGTATGAAGATTGGATCACAGTGAAATGAAAGTCAGAGCGCGATTTGCGATCGTCGTTACAAAGACGCGAGTTTCTCGTTACGTGGAATTTTGTGGTAAAAATTACCGTGGAGTTTCGCAAGCGAGAAACACATCGGCATTCTGTCTTAATTTGTCATCTCGCCGTTGTATATAAAGAAATCAAAGAAACGAAAGGAACGTGTAAAAAATATATCTTTAAATCGGAGTTCTCCTGCCGCGCGTCAGAAACTTATTCCTTGAAAAAGTAAATTTTACGGTCAATTTCTGCACTATGAGCAAACTATGAGGCAAGGTCGAGAAGAGCTGATAAAGGGGGAAGCGATAACAGTCTCTTCGTGTATTCTACTTCAAGCGCACGCGAGAGGTATACTCACGAAAAAGGCTTTGATGTATTCCGCCGTGGGCATGTGCACGACTCGGGGGAGTCGTGAGAGTAATTGCGCCGCTTCGAAATCCCGGACTTTCTTCTCCAGAATCCACCCGCGGATTGTGAGAAAAGCAGGCCCGGTCCCGGCCTGCACTACCGCGTCGCGCCAGATCTTCCAACGAAGTAACGGTTCCTTACTCTTCTGAGGTAATATCTTCGGTGAGAGGTCGTTCTCCACGGTGGCCAGTTCTTTCTCGTTCAAGTGACGCAACAAGCTCGTCAACATCATGAACTTCTCCAACGTATGTTGCCTCAGCACTTCGTCGGATGACTGGACTTCCGACACCATCTCGTTAACCAGTATGACAACTTGTTTCATCATCTCAGCCGGGTCAAGCATCTTGCTGCCGTCGTTCTTATTGAGGCCGAGAATCGAAGGCAATACGTTGTTCATACTCTCGTGCATTTCCGCCTTTGATATAAAGTAACCGTACTCTCGGTCGTGGAATTCCGTGTTGCTCATAAAGTTATTACCAAAGCGATTAAGTTTCTGGTGAATGGAGCGCCTGAGGAAGTTGCTGGAACTGGCTTTCTCCGAGGAGCTCGATTCGTGACTTTTGTCGGACTTCGGGTCCGTTTCTAGATAGTCGACCTTGGGTTCGATCCTTGTCTTGTCCAACTGATGATCGTGCATCAGATGATGAACGTACAACAGATTGCCGGCGGGCACCAGATTTAGGGGTGGGTCTTTCATTTCTGTCATAGGCTCCAACTTCGTCAAAGTCAGCTTCATCTTAGTTAAGATATTGGAGTTTGCGAAATCGTTGAGCTTGGGCCTGACGTCTATTGTGCCTTTCATTACGCTGGACCGAATGGTAGTGAGGTCATCCTTGTCACGCGAGATAACCATGTTCACCTGGGTCGATCTCTGCAACAATCGTACAACAGTCACGATCAGTCTCACCAGCCTCACCTCTTCGCGACGTCGTTTTGCGCACGCACGGAAAACGCGAGCGCGCGTTGAAAATTCCGATGAAAATTCCACTCACCTTCAGATACCGCTCGTGTATATCGTGATCCATGTTCTTCACTATGCTGAACTGGTACATCGGCATGCTCAGGCAATCTCTGTAGTTCCGAGTCTTCATCACGTCCCAGTACATTTCGTCCTTGAGTGCTGGTATACGCACTAGTGGATGTAATTCGAGCTGGGACTTGGCCATTGGTTGGATGTTGTAACTGGTATTGCAGTGGCCACTGACGGACTGCTCATCGACAATGAACTCGGAGAAGCTCGCTTTTTCCATCGGCAGATCCTCAGGTTCCACAATACTCAACTGCAGCTGGCTCAAGATACCCTTCATAACGTTCAATTGCCAGCGGGGTGACTGCGGCTCGGTGTATATCTTCTGCATATTCCCATGCTGGAAATCGACCTTGTAGGTAGTCTGGATCCATGAGTTCTTATAGTGCAGCTGCTGGTCGGAGACTTTAGTGTGCCAGCTATCTTGCAATTCTTTGAGTATCTGGGTATGCTGTACGTTCTGCAGATGCACTAACAAGACGTTCGGCTCGGTCACCTCAATCACGAGCTCGCCCCTCAGTTGGAGTCCAGCGAACTGCTGAGATACCTTATTCATGCCCGCCAGGCCTTGAGTCTCTACACGGTAGTGGTACGTGTGGTTCGGCTTCCATATTAGCAAATCCGTATGAGCTAGAGCCGAGCTAACTGTCGGGGGAAGAGAGAATCGTCAGTTTCCTCTTCTGTCTTCTATGTATGACTTACAGTAATCGAAACGTCTGTCGCGTCGCGTCGAGTCAGGATTCGCGTGCAATTCGCGCGGAGAGGAGTTTCTCACGCAAGTAGCCATTGGAGCGAAAGAGCTCGGCAAAGGAAGACCAAACATCTCCGTGGCTCCCGTTGATCCGGATTCACGCTAACGCGACGGAGATGATTTCAGGAACACGGACAGACGAAAGACGAAGGACTATCGATTCCGATATTCGATTCGGGCCTCGAATTCCCGTCGGAGAGCTTTCACGCCCGCTAGTGCGCAAAGTCGACGATACTCACCGAAAAGAAGCAGGGCGAGAGGGGCCCACATGGTGACGTTATGTGGTCAATACCCAAATGCGAAATGATGGCTCTCCGTCGTTGATTGAATTTATATGCACCGGCTGCTAACTCAGCACGACCTGCCGCCGATCGCCACCGATTCAAATCCCGTGTCCGCGCGAACTTGAAACTGCGGTGTTTACGCGTGACGAACTTTTTCTGACCTTGCACACTCTTGACATCTGCAACATAGTTGAGAAAGTGCTGGCACGCTCGTGACGTCGGATTTCCGCTAGAACTTCGACTCCCGGCTCGTACATCGATCGAAAAAAGCCGGCACTTTTATCGATATTTGCATTTTCCACTTGTACCGTGTTGAGAGAAAAAGAAAGGACGAAGCGGGCCTATCCCGGATACCCGAGGTAATCGTGAAATGTTCGAGAAACAACGCCGACGGTGGGTAGGCGGAAAGAAAAATGCCGAGACTCCTCGGAGGAGGAGGAGGAGACGTTTGCTTGAGGAAAAAAAAGTGCGATGAGAGTAATCGATATCACCAAGTATATTTAATTTTGATAAGAGACGCGCTGTTATGCTACATCGCGTTAGTACTTTATGTAATGCCGTATTTTTCTATGCTTCTAATCATCAGGATTTTTCTTCTCTTCTTTCGCCGCCGAAGACCGCACGAGCTCTCGTAGTTGCATGTACCTAACATGTTGGCCGGATAAGCGGCACCGCGCAGGTTCGCGACCTGGTCACCGATAATCTTCCGCAAGCGGTGTCGAATTGCCGTTTCGTGCTTAAATGAGCTTACGTCGTCGCTCGCAGTTTTCTATCTCCGGATAACGAGCGACGGAGAATCTCGCCGAGCGGATGTTGCGTAAACTCGCGTGTACGGTCTTTAATGAAACATAAAAGTTAATAATATCGCTCCCCGGGTCGCGACATGTCGTTGTCGACGACAGGAGATATTTTTAAACCACGATTACACGATCAGAAAGTCCATACGAGTGAATAATAATATTCCTGAGACTGTCATTTTATCAATAAACAGCGATAAGTGTCGTTTAAAAATTGCATTTCTTGCGCCGCCGAGAAGAAGATATTATGAATGGACGATGATTCTTTCATGCGGGATGCTGGTTATTGCTTCAACGATTAATTCAATCGAGCCGTGTAGCGTTTTATTAAGAAACATCAAATATTCGTACACATTACATACAAGTTAAAAATATTATTTATATATGCATATATGTATATATATGTATATATATATATATATATAATATATATATATATATAATTATATAAGCGCGTGCGTAATTATTATAATATGTAACTCTATATTATATATTGTATACAGTTGTTATATATATAATTATATATATATAATATATATTTTATATGTTATATATTATTATATGTGTAATTTATATATATATATGTATGTATGTATACGTGCACAATATAAAGTATCACCGCTACACACGGAGAAGGAGTTGGTTGAATTAAAACGACACGATTTATTTGAGCAAACAGAATTTCGGATTTTTACGAAATCCGCTTTTCAACAGCGAGAAATTCCGTTTCCACTTTCACCGAAACGCGCTCAGTTACATTCATTCAATCCTTTAATTCAATCAATCCTTTTCTCTCTCTCTCTCTCTCTCTCTCTCTCTCTTTGTATACGTAAGTTAAACGCACCTCAGTGGAAGTGTCTCACACATCCTCCGTTGAATTAATTCTAATTCTTATTTATACGTATATTTCTACCTTCGGCATGAAACAGGTATAAAATACCATAATAAATGATATAACAAAAATCATCTTAAACTATAATAATACTTTCACAATGAAACGACCACAAGTTGGACACCCTTGAAACTCGACGTTTAAAATGTACCTATCGTTCAGGCTCCTCTTTCCTCGTTGCAGCTATCTTGAATGGTGACGTCGAGAGCAAGGAAGTCCATGCTAAGAATTCCTACGAATTACGTCGGAAGAAAAGGGTATGTCCACAAAATAACACGTGTAATCGTCTCTGAGCGCATCTCTGAAATGCTCCGAAAATCTCTTTCTTGCTGAAGCGCCCAATAAGCGAAAGATCAACGCGACGAAATCACGAGAGAAGGCAGGTTGAAGTGGAAGATTGCGTATCACATTAATCTGCCGGTTATTTACTGATTGTTCGAGCAAAGGGACAGTTTTCGGAGCATCTTAGAAGTGCGCTCAATCTCAATTGCGAACGTTATTTTATGAATATATATCTTTCTTTATTTAGACTTAATCCGTAGGAATTGTTAGCGTGAATCTCCTCGCTTCTGACATCACCAGGTAAGGGTTCTGCGACGAGATGACAGAAAAGCCACACTGAACTTCCCTTTCCCCTGCTCATTGACAAGTCTAGCTCCGAAACAAGACGCAACCATGAGATATTTTCGTAATTATTACGAAATACATGTTATTTGACGAATAAAACCTGCTTCGACAACCTGTGTCATCGTTAGATCATGCACGGCGTGGCCGTCACATTACGTAAAATAACTCCGGCACAGAACTTGTCAATTAGCACGAACGAGCAGTGAATTGCCGCTGCTAACCCCTGTGCTTCTGTCGACGTCGATGGGCGAGAAGGTCGCTTGAATAATGGCCGTGGTGGGTTCCGGTTCCTGAAACAGTCGGTCAGTTAGCCGATTCCTTCCTCAAGATGAAACAAGGATAATCACTTTCATTTTTTATAATTTGTTTTATAACAGATAACTAGGACGTCGTCTAAGTCGTAACAACGATTGAATAATGATGATATTATTTACATCATTATTGTTATCATATTATTTATCATATTAGTGCTAATATTTTTATATATCAAAAAATTAAGTCAAAAAGAAACACATATGTAACGGCAATATCGGGAGTAGCAGTGGTATGATAAAAAATAATAGAGCAATAGAATGGGAGCGAAAATCCACCTCGTCGAAACCGATGTCGATCTCCTCGAGGACTTCTTCGAGAACGGATACGAAATGGTTGACGTTCTCAATGGTGAAGACCATCGGCGGTTTCAGCTTCAGGACGTTATTGTCGGGACCGTCGCTGCTGACGAGAATCTTCTTCTCCTTCATCCTGGACACAACGTGTTGCGCCTCTGCCGTCGCCGGTATCCTCTTGGTCCTGTCGCGTACCAGCTCGATGCCCACGAACAGCCCAACGCCGCGCACGTCGCCGATGATCTTCCGCCGTTCCGCCAACTTCTTCAGCTCGGCAATTAAATGACTGCCGACTTTCGATGCGTTATCTAGGAGGTTCTCGCGTTCGATCACCTCCATCACCGCGTTCGCTATCGCGCAGGACACAGGATTGCCGCCGTACTGGAATCGTACGAGACATTGTTCGTTTTTATTTCTTACAGTGCTCGGGAGATTTGCGACCGAACGCGCATTCACTCGAAATACCGGAGTCTCGGAATTTGAGAACTCGCTAAAGTTTTGTAAATTTATAATGACAAATCATTAATTTAATTTAATTTAAATTAATTTGCATTTTGACGAAATTGCATCTCCGGGAGACCTGCCCGGGTAATCGGATTTCCGCATCACGAGTTTTCGGGAAACTTTCTTCTGTTACAAACTAACCGTGTTGAAGTACTCGATGCCGCTGGCGCGGAAACTACTCGCGATTTCCGGCGTGGTGACGACGGCCGCTACCGGATGGCCGTTACCCATCGGCTTGCCCACGGTGACGATGTCTGGGATCACGTCTTCGCCGTACACTTGGAAGGCCCACATGTGAGTACCGACCCTGCCGAAACCGACCTGGACCTCGTCGACGATGCAGACACCGCCGGCTTCGCGTACGTGCCTGCGGAATCAAACGTCGCTTACGGCCACCGCGTGTTTTCACGCGTGTACGCGGACAATGAAATGACTTGCACTCACTTGAATGCGTTACGAAAATAATTCTGCGGCGGTATGATCTGTCCGCCGACCGATACAAAGCTCTCCGCGATGTACGCGCAGAGTCCGCGGCCCGTTGCCTCGATGTTCTGGCAAATCTCCCCCACGTCCTTGGCGTACTTGATGCCGAGGTCCTCGTCCGGGTAATCGTCAGCGCGGTATTTGCCGCGATAGACGTCCGGGCACGGAGCCTAGAAGCGTAAACGAGAGGTATGTAGAAAGAGAAATACCGACGTTGCGAGCATCGAAAATGATTGAACATCAAACAAAGAAGGGGATTATATAAGTATACGATTAAATATATAGTATAGTAATAATAAAAATATTAATAAAAATAATAATAATAATATAATAATAAAAAATAATAATAATAACATTAATAAAATCACTAATAAAATCTAATATTAATAAAAAACGGAGCCTAGAAGCGTAAACGAGAGATGTGTAGAAAGAGAAATACCGACGTTGCGAGCATCGAAAATGATTGAACATCAAATAAAGAAGGGGATTATATAAGTATACGATTAAATATATAGTATAGTAATAATAAAAATATTAATAAAAATAATAATAATAATATAATAATAAAAAAAATAATAATAACATTAATAAAATCACTAATAAAATCTAATATTAATAAAAAATGATAATAAAGATATTAATAAAAAAATATGGTTATATAGAGATATAGAATATTATTGATGTTGACTGCCATGGTAGTCTCACCGGTATAGCCGACGCTATAACATTAAACATCGTTGTGTTTCACCGATTATGTATGAAAAACCCAGCCAACTGTGTACAACGAATTAAATGCATCGCCGATAGGGAGGTTAATAAAATGAAGGGGATAAAATTATCGAACACGAAACACATAGAACGAAACAAATAGAATTAACAATAGAATCGTTCAGAGCCAGGAATAAATAACCAGGAATGAAATTACAATTAAAAGTGTTAAATACGAAAAGTCGATCAGTGTGTGAGATTAGAAATAGAAATTCGAGATAAATTCAATCGCACGTACAGTTGTTAATTAATGAAAAATGTATGAAATGGACTACGAGGGATAGTTTCTCAGATACTCAACCACGTGCACCCAGTCCTTCTTGCCGGTGCCTTTCGCCTGGTTGAACTTGTACGGCGAGATATCGATGGTCGTGGTCAGATGTCCATGGTAAGCGCTAAAAGCAGAAGAAGCAAGCGGTCATTAACATCGCCTTCGTTCAAACCTTCGTTCTTCAACTCTCTACGAGCTATCGCGCACGTGACCCTCGGAGACTCGCCGAGACGCATCTGAAAATGATCATCAGTCAATATCGAGTCGCTCGAAAGGTCCGCTGCGACCGCTGGGAGCGAACGGCTCGTCAACGAGACTCATCATCAAGCAACCGTATCGCCGAGGCAGACGGCTAGCAGGGGCCGTGGTCGGTGAAGAGAGAAGGAACAGAAATCATCAAGTGCGAGACAGAGAGAGGAGAGAGAGAGAGAAAAAGCGGACGACAAACAAAACAGGAAAAGACGATCTTTGCCCTCCGCCGACGATCCCCCGTGCGGCTCATTCGTGCAGGGCTCCGCCGTGGACCAAGCGAGAGCGGTCGAAACGCACTTTTCGGCCGACCCAATAACGCTCTCGCCTTCGGCGAGAGCGCAGACACTCTGAAAGCGCAATTGTCCTCTTTCCTCCTCCGCCGTGGCCGCGCCGAAGGTGAGCGCAACGAGCCCGCCGTGGTAACACGTCGCGCAGAGCGATTCCAATTAGCGAGTCCAACTGCCGCCTCTGACCGAGATCTATAACCCACTGACATTACCTAATGAACTCCCGCCTTCGTTTCGCGCTGTCCCTCCCGGGCCGTGTCCTCCCTCGGCGTCGGCCGTTCGTCACTCGCTACGACACCTAAAACGACAAGATCTTTATGCCTCTGTATTTTATTCCGGCTGGGCTGCGGAGAAACCGGACTCGTCCATCCGGTCCGTTTCGCTGGAGTCACCGCTGCAGCCACCGCCGCCGCCACCGCCGCCGCTGCCGCCGCCACCGCTGCCGCCAGCACCGCCGCCGCAGCCGCCGACGCCGTCGCCGACGCCGCCGCCAGCACCGTCGCCGCAGCCGCCGCCGCTGGCCCGTCCCGCTGGTCTACCTCGGGAAAAATCAAAGCTGCAAACAGGCAAACAGACAAGTACGGTTTCGATTAGTTCGGCGGGTGAAATCGTTTCGCTCATCGTGCGTCGTGTTCGCAGCCTGAAATGTCCAAGAGGCGTAGCCTCGCCGCTTGCGAGGAACGAAGGTCACGAAGAGAAGAAGAAGAAGAAGAAGAAGAAGAAGAAGAGAACGAGGGTACAGAGGTACAGAGGTGAAGTAGAAGAAGCAGCGGTAGAAGAGAGGACCGATCCGAGAGCAGGAACATGCAACGGAGGTGTGTGTCTTTTCGCATTCGCCCGCCTGTTAACCTCGGCGGATCCTTGTTCGGCGGAAACGTTCTCGGAGATCGTTGCGGTAAAGAGTTACGGGTCGGGATCACGTTCCTTCGTACACAATACTTCTGTAAGTCTGGACTACACCGATAGATCGTAGAGTTCGAGTCTCGCTAGAAAAATAGCAGACGATCAGCAAGGATCAGGATAACGAGACACACTCGAGAAGTTGCGATACCGGCGACGAAGGGCATAGTCCAAGGTTACAAAAATCTTGGCTCGCACTTTTTACCGCACTTTCTTATCTCCTCCGTGAAGAGTGCAGCGGGTGATTCTCGCTTCTCGACGGCGAGACGAGGGTGTTGAAGCGCGCGTGCGATGCTTTCGCAGGTTGACGAACGTCTCGCCGGAGTCGGCTCGCGCGGGGGAACTTACTGATCCAGCGCGATGACATCCCGGCTCTTCGTGTGCGCCTGTGCCAGCCGAAGGGCGAGATCGTTCGCCTCGCTACCGGAGTTCACCAGGAAGCAGACCGACAGCGGTTCCGGCATCGTCGACGCCAATCGGCTCGCGCATATCACCAGATTGTCGTGTAGGAAGCGGCTGTTCGTCGACAGCTGGGCCATCTGCTTCTGCCCGGCCCGCACGACGTCCGGATGACAATGGCCGACTGCGATGAGTAATCGACGATTAACACGTCACTCGCGCGAACGCCTGATAATTCAATTACTCGATGCGCGGTGAAGAAACATCATTTGTGTTTAGCGACAGATATAAGTATATTGAACTTTGGACGCTGAATCTTGAACCTGTCGCTGGACATGATAAAGTCATCATATATAATTGTAAATTAGGTAATTCTGAACCTGAAAAGAAATCCTTTATCATATTTGGCAAATAAGCACGCAAATTTTCAAGTTATCAATTAAAAGAGCCTCTAGATGCGGTGTCATTTTCAACCATTACTTGATAATTGAAAACTTGATAATTATTGCGATTTTTGCAAAATGGTAAGAGACCTTTCTTCCAAGCTTGATTCGATTAATCTCCACAATTCTTTCTTTCCAATAGATCCCGGACATCCTGTATATATATATACATATATATATATATATATCGTAATATTTTTATATTATGATACTGTAACATGTTGTAATCTGATTGTCATCTTGACGAGTTTGATTGCACACTTGATAACAACCGTAATTCCAAGTTAGTGCAACAACATCAGTCCGACGACCTTCACGGCTGAGTTGATCGAAAGCAAACATGAAATTCACTCGTCCGACACAGATCGCTCAGTCTTTCTCTCTCTCTCTCTCTCTCTCTCTCTCTCTCTTTCTCTCTATTTTGATCAGAGATTCAGCCTGACGATAAGGATCGCGAGTGTCACGCGCGATAACGCGCGTTATCCTGCGATTTGCGTACTTACCATGCGCAACGTTGTTTATGCAGTCCAGATAACGATTGCCCTTCTCGTCGTACATATACTGCCCCTCGGCTCTCACGATTTTCAGCGGGCTCGACTTGTAGAACAGCTTGCACGATTGTCTAAAGTTCGATTGAACAACATCAACGTGAATCATCGATTATCGCGCTTTGTCAGCTTCTTTTCTCACGACTCTCGGACTCTTTACTCACCCGATAAAACGGTCGCGCAGCCTCATCGTGTCAGTCTTCGGCATTTGCTCCAGGGATTCCGCCATGGTGAGTATCCTTCTCGATTGGTCCTTGCCGAGTTTCCGCACCTACGAGAAATCCACCATCGACAATCATCGCGGGGACCTCAGCCATCCGGCTTATCGTATCAATCGATGACGATCGCGATTACTAGCACGCGCTCCACCGCGCCGGTTTCTCCAGATCGATAAATTTGTTATTGTAGTAAATAGAGCGATTGTTCCTCTAATTAACGAGAGAAGCGCGCGCGATAAGAATAAGTGGATCATAATAGGAGCGCTTATCAGAGCCAGAGCCAGTGTAGCTTCCAGCGAAGCTGCTTCGTTACGCGAAGAGAGTCATCTTCGTGCAAATGGAAAATTACACGGGGCTTTGGTTCGTTGCAAAAGATGTTGTCTATATTTTATGTTCACTTTATGTTTATCTTTTATTTAACACGCTTTTTTGCGAAATTCATTCACGGTCGCGTCATCTGGCCTGAAAATCTCAGTATGTTCGGACTCTACGTGTCACCCAGAGCAGATCGGTCATTTAACATTCCGCATATTGACTGATAATGTCGTCGTATCAGTTATGGTAAGTTTGAATCGGATTCGTTTGTTATCGAGCGAATATTCGGTGACCTCTTTAAAGCGTTTTAAAGACGTCCGCAACGATCCCAGACGTAAATTGCCGACGAGAAGTGCGGCGTGTGTACTCAAAATATTGGTACACCATTTCCTTGCATATATAGGGTGTTTCAAAAAGGGCTGGCTCTATATAATATTCTTCTCATCGAGCAAACGAGAAAGTTCCTTCGTGAAGAAAGCGGCTAAAACGCTCGAAAGGATCAATGTCGAGTCAAGATTGAGAGTTTGACAAAGGAGGAAGATATCAATTCGTAGTTAATTTTCCATCACATAAATACGCGACGCGTTCTCTACTAAATTCATACTCGCGAAGCTTCGAGTGTACGCAAGAAGCAAGTGCTTCGCCTCGAAACAGCCGACGCAAAACAACAATGTACGGTAACAATGCGAACAATCGTTGGCCTCGGTTCGATTCTTTCTCTTCCTTGCACGCGCTTCTCACTTCGCATTGTCTCCGAAACACGCGAGGAGCGCGTGTTAGAGAAAACGCGGTAAACGCGTAAGAAAATATTGTTTTACTCTGCTTTGACTGCCGGCAATAAGTATTATCGTCGCGTTAAAACTCTGCGTATTCCCGTCCAGGAGCATTTCCGTTTATGGTCTCTCCGACGACCATAAACGGAAATCTACTTTTCCTCGATCTTAACATCACGATATATACGTGAAGTTAAGTTAATGTACGACGAAGAAAACATCCCTAAATATTTTGAATACATTTCGCTTCATGGTCCGGCAACTTTTCAACGACAATGTGATCTGACTCGCGTCTTCTCTTCTCGCCGACTTCTGTATTTGTATAATTAAATATTCATGTTAAAAGTCCGTATGCAAAATTTTCCTAAGAACTGAGCATACCAAAGATTTTTACTTGCGTGGAAAAATAAATAAGCGAATAATTAATATTAAAGCGCCGGTTATCAGTGCGACAGTCGGCGTGTGAGACAGCAATTTGAAGAAACGTCATCAAACTTTTCTGCCTCTCGAGTTGGTTCACCAAAGTAATTGGCAAATCAGTCATCAAAATTAATCAGTCGCCAAGCACGTGATCGCACGCGCGCGCTCGCGTGGATAATTTAATTTCTGCTGATAAAATTAATCAGCGTATAATCGATGAAATCGAAGCGATCGATCGGAACAATCTTTACATTACACGCAACTCGCTCGATTAATTCCGTTAATTTCGATTACTTTTCAAGTATGTCTCGATTATTACAGTCGAGTAAAATTTTCATCGATCCCACCCGACGACTTTTTCCTCTGACTGCGAATTGTCGTGAGAAGAGACAAATTATCAAAGCGCGCTATTACACGCGCGTATAGCGCGGACTTTCCGTGTGTGTGTGTGTGTGTGTGTTCATATATTATATATTCGAACGCTCCACCCCCCGCTTTTCCCGTGGCGAAATAGACTTCGAAATGCACGCGCTGCAAGTCGCGGCTGCTTTATTTTTAACAATTGCGCATAGGACCGTTCTTCGACCGAAGGTACGTGTCGCGCTGATCGCGTGCGTCGCATATTTGCAAATGTGAGATAAACGCGTCGATGTGCGCGACTTTCTGCCTAACTATCGGTCTGCCGATTAGCGCAGTTTATCGCCGGGCTATAGCCGCGTCGTCCGATCGTCGGGCTGACACGCGAGAGTGCTTCTGCATCGCGAGCGGAAGCTCGCGCGTTGAAGAAGTACCGATAACGCGCGATTACGTCGCTCCGCTTCCTCGGGAGGGAAAATCGCTCGCGGGCGATAACGCGAAAAATTGGCCGTCGCGTCGCTCTCGGCGAGTGCGAGACTCGCTTGCCTCTCTTCGTCGCGGAGATAAACGAAAATCGGCGATCATCGGTGAGCGGTGACGAAAAAGCCCCCTTGTCGTAAAAGAAGGAAATCCAATTTAGGGGGTGAGATCAGCGCGACCCCCGCCGACTTTTCCATCGCTGGGGAATTACACGCCGCTGAAGACGACCCGGGTGACGTCTCACCGTGGAATCGAGGCGAGACGAGAAGTAAAGAAACGAAGAAGAGGAAAAGTGAAGAAAGAGAGAAAAATTTGCGCGCGTTTTTCTCGGCCGTACCTGAATTTCCGGGCGACGTCACGGTTCCTCGATCACTGCGAGTGCAGCCGAAGGCAGAGTGTTGCGACCTGCACCAGTGACGTCATATATATAGCAGAGTAAGTCAGCGGGGATGAAAGGTAGGAAAACCTGCGCACGCGTGCCAATTGTGCCTCCCTCCTCGAACGACACCCCACTTCTCGTGCGCTTGGCGTACGTCATTTCGTCGTTTGTCTATATTTCGACAGAGTTTATTGTAGAACGTAATGCTTGCATAATAAAGAGCGAGCCGAGCTCCGTGTGCTGCACAATCCAGAGCCGCCGTCGAGCCGACGCACTTTGCGCCTCGCGAATCTGATCTCAGGATGCAAAAAAAGAGAAAAAAAGAGAGAAAGGGAAGTAGACAGGAAGAGATTCGCTCCGCTCCGTGTCCTTCGAGGGTTGATCGGCGCGTCGATCGCGTCAATTCGCCAATTATGCGGCGTGAGTTTCGCGTCTCGACGAGGTACGAGTGAAGCGTACAAGCGTCGCGGAAATACAGGACGTCCTTCACAGCTAGAGCAACGCGGGCGAGAAACGTTCGCAGTGTTCTTATCGTCACTTTCAGTGTCGTTATTTTTAGTGTCGCGCGAAGAAAAGAGACCTTGCGCTTGCAAACGCAGAGAGACGCTGACCGGTCGGGAGCAAGGTTTGGCAAAATAGAACGTCGACACAGCTCTGCGCTTGGCCGGTCGCTCGCGCTTGCCGGCAAAATCAGCAAACACGCTCGGGTGTCGTGTAGACCGCCGCGATCGCGAGGGTTGGATCGAGGATATCATGTTTAACGAACGGAGTGAACTTTGATTCCGTCTTCTAGACACGTGTGTCGTTCTCGACTTCGTGTGTAATTTTCCACTCGAGCCGCGTGCTTCGACCGACCGTGGTGTCTTCTATCCGGGCCGCTCGAGATTTATTATTTATTATTATTATTTCAGTTACTCGGGCATTCGGTGGAACAAAGTGTCTCGCAAGCTCTTCGAATGATCAGGGCTACCGACCGGGAGATCCATCCTCTCGTGTTCTCTTTTTAAAGCCTTCAATCTCCGCGGGTTCTTAACTTTAATCCAGAATTAATTTGAGTTCCAGATTAGTTAACAACCTTTCTTCATCGCGTACATATCAATTTACATTAAGATCAAACTTGCTTTATGATTTTCATGGAGACATGGAGAGTTTTGTAGTAGAAACTAAAAGACTTTTCGGTACCTCTACAGAAGGAAATTGATAGAAAGTACTCAACGAGCACTTTCCGCGGTCAGAAGAAGCGTTTTTCCTGAATGACCGCCGGGGTGATCTCGCCCGACGGATTCTTCCCACGAGACTCTCGATCCCCGCGAAATTCCGGAAACAGGAAAGATCAACATTTGCTCGCTCGACGAGCAAGTGTTTCGGGACAGAGAATTCGGAACAGAGTCTGGTTAACGCTCGATAAGGTCAACGGGTAAATATCGGCAAAGGCGCAGCTCCGACAAACGTGCGAGCAGCACGTGGACGGCGGCGGTATGCCGACACGTGACGCGCATTAGAGAGCGGATCGAACGCGACGGCGGCAATCGCGTGATGCACAATCGCTCTAATAGTCGCCGCGATATCGCTGTTTAGCAAATACAATCACATGTAAGTCACGTTCGTCCGATCACAAATCTTCCACTGCGGGCGCGAAGTCAACAAGCGTCGCTGCCGATTTTCAGGGAGCCGCGCTCTCGTTATCTCGCTAATAATGAACGGGCTAATTATATCGGAATCGCAATTACAGGCGACGCGTTTTCGGCACGCCGGCGCCGATCTCGCGATCTCGCCGCGGCAGTTTGTGATCATTTATTTTATCCGCTGTACAAATTATTAGAGATGTGCGAACTATTCGAATTCGAATCGAATCGAATCGAATCTAATGTAATTCGATTCGATTCGAATCCGAATCCTTATGATTCGAATCTGAATAATTCGAAAATTTCGAATCGAAGATTCAATTACGAATCAAATATATTAACGTGCATTATATTTACATGCATCAGGTACAAAACGAGTCATCTGGGCCTGTATGTTTGAACCCTTAACTTGTAATTAATTCAACTTATAATTAATAACTTGATTATAAATTACTTTAAATATTTAAATATATATTTTACTTTAAGATGATATTACAATATCAATATCCCTTTTCATATTAAAATCTTCCATCATTATATGCATGTTTAATAGTCATGTTAAATTTTTCAATGATTCGATTCGATTCGAATTCGAATTAAAAGAAATGAGATTCGATTCGATTCGATTCGACATAAAAATTCTTGATTCGCACATCTCTACAAATTATACATGTGTCGCATGAGCGACGTAGACTACATATATTTAAGTTGAAGAGTCAATAAGCTTTAGCTCAACTCACAACAGACAGGTAACTTTGGAGGAGTTGATTTTTAACTTGGAGTGACTTTAGAATGCATTGACACGTAAAGTTGTGGACTTTCTTTCTTTTTTTTTTATATAAAATGAAACAGCCCATCGGTATTGAGATTATCGCGAGTTGTTTATGACGTACGAAAGAGGCAAGCAAGAAATAATGTCGGTAAAATTTTCTTTCCTCGTGTGCAAAACAGTCGGTATTTTCTCGTAAAAGATCTTTATTTTTTCGCAAAAGATTTTTATTATTTCGCAAAAAATTCAACACGCGATTAAAAGAACTGCTTCACACAGAAACACGTGACTATTGATCTACACGATTAACTCTCTTTTAACCATAATAAGTTAATCCCATTTCAACTTGACTGTGTGTGTTAATTAAGTTAGTTTTCCTTTAAGTAACTTTTAACGCAGTCAAGTTTGTTTCATAGGTGCTTAACAGTGAACTTGATTTAGTTAAAAAAAATATACCAACTTCTACACTAGGAAAAATGTATTGTTGCGTGAACCAAAATTTTGTTGTAACAACAAAATAATTCGGTTAAAATATGCCCAACAAAACTGTTTAGTTCCTGTAAACAAATATCTTGTTTAATTACGGTTTGTTCGTATAACGTAATACTTTTGTCATAGCAACCAAAAAGCTTCAATTATATATGAATTTTGTTAAAGATACTATAATTTTTTCGTAATATATAAAATCTAAATTTTAATGCACAGAAAGACAAAATAGTATCCATTGGGCATTATTTCAGTTTATGTAAAATAATATTTCGTTATTATGTAATTTTTATGGATAAAATAACTAAAATGCTTAATTTTTACGTGATGAAGTCTGAGAACAAAATCATTTGGTCCAGAGAACAAAGTAGAAAAATATATTTAGTTGAGACAACTAAATCTTTTGTTATATAAAACAAGATATTTGGTTGCCACTGAAAAATGCTTCAACTAAACAGTTTTGTTAGAGATACTAAATTTTTTTTCTTAGTGTATAAATAAATATTGGACCAACCCTGATATCTACCGTCTCGGCCACCTTTAAAACATTCGACCGAGCGCAAACACCATATTCCACAGATGAAAGCGAATAAAAAGGTTTTGACAAAGTTACATCAAATCAAGTTACATCAGTTACTTAAAATTATTTTCTGAGACATATAAAGAAAAATCTGGCTTGTCGCTGTTGTCAATCCCATCGACTTTTATCTTAAAACTTTGGCTTGCGCCTCGCGAGCGCATCTCGTAAAATCGTTCTTTTGCCTTTGGCCGACTTCAGCGGTTCCTGAGGAGTCGTGCTTCAGCAGCATCTACTGCAGGCAGTCACACACACACACACACACACACACACTCGGTCGGTTCTTGTGTCAACTTTATTACGCGAGTAAAGTTGAAGTCAGCCTCCTCGTCGTTAACGTCAAATCAACGCGCGGAAATCCCGCGCTCGTTACTGCACTCGCCGCTCTTCGCCCTCGCAGCGAATTATCGCCACGTTATCCACATCGCGAGTGTTCCTTGCGCAATCTATCGCTCCACCGACGATTTTTCTTCTGCGCGCAGCACGCTGCAAGGTCATTCGTCGCCGCTCGCGGCGGCGAAATTAAAACTCAATCGCTCCGCGGTGTCCTTTTTCCTTCCTCCGCGAAAAATCAGATGAAACGGCCGTGTGTTTATCGGACGCGATATCGCGCGTCATGCCAACGAGCCGTATTTTTGTGGCCTGATTGCCGCCTAGATCTTAAGCGGCCGATGTGAAGTGCAGTGTTATTCGATTGTGATAATGGCCGCGCGCGTGCGAATTGCACAATTCGCGAGTCTCTCTTTCTCCGAGGACTTGTTCAACTGCGAATTGCGACGAATTACAGCGAAGCAAGTCCTCTTTCTCGAGGGAGCTGGCGCTCCTTATTGACATGTTGATGAGCAACAAGTAATGAAATAAACAAGTTGGAATGAAACGAAATGCGCTTGCCTCGCTCTCCAGCGAGCTCTTCGGGTAAAGACAGGCCAAGGTGTATTTCTTTTTCACTGTAACTCGTTGCACCGATGTCGCACGAGTTCAACAAGTTCTTCAAGGAGGGACAGGCCGCAAATTGTCTCGTGCATTGCCTCGCGACGGACGCTCGTTATTGGCCGAATGACGCGGCTCGCGGAGTGACGTCTTTGACACGAGTTTGCGTCACACGCGGGTCATGCCGCGCGTATCTCATCGTCGACTAATACGCGATATCATCGAGATTCTACGGTCTCTCCGAGAGTTTCCTCCTTTTCGTCCGCTGAAAGGCGACCAGGTGAAATCGCGATTGGCCATTTTGTTTCCCTCGAGGGGCTGAGAAACCCCTGGACCAGGTATCGGAAAATCTTTTTAACCCTTTCACTGTTAGTGCGAAGTGTACTTCCCACCTTTTCTTGATTCAATTTTGCGTTGTTTATATCACGTAATTTTGAAGAACTAATCGGAGATTTGAGTTTTCCAGATAACTGAATAGTTGTTCAACACACTCCAACAGGTTCTTACACCCAATTATTCATTTGTGATTATTTATAACAAAGCAAAGTTGAAAAGAATGCTTCTTTTAGGGAAAAATCGATTCCTCGGAGAGTATTGAATGTAGAGGTCTGACATTTTCACCAAATATTTTTCTGGTGTTGTACGAAAACATACATTTTTTTCAGTACATTTTTGCAGGTTAGATTTTTTTTATAAACAAATATTTCTACAAAAACGGCCGAAATTTGATTCTTTTGCACTTT